CCATGGTATCTATGGGGAGGGATCCAGCGATGGTGAAGTCCAGCGCGCTGATGCTGGAGGGTAAGATGCCGTCTAAGACGGAGCTGGCGGGGGGCCTGGACGTGTTGACAGTGGGCCTGAACTAAACGGGCCCGGGCTATAATAGGGGCTGTCCGTTGGGAATGTTGTCGGGTCCCGGGGGTGGGGGGAGGGACGGGTCTCAGTGTTAATTAAGACAATGATGACAAGGGAGCTTTTGTCTCTCTCGTATTACTAGGACTTGGTGATCCTCCCCTTCTCTCTCTTACGACTCACTTGGAGGAGCTTGTTCCAGGGTGGCACCTATCCCGATGTCCCACCGAGACACAGCGTATTCCCTCGCTCAGGGTGGTAATGGCTAGTGGCTTGTAAACAAAGTCGGGTGCCTTTTGTTCGCGGAGTCAATTTCTGAGGTCTGGGCTTGATAGAGTACATAGTGAAGCAGGGAAGTAAGGGACCATTCGGCTGTGGCCGAGGACTGATAGCCTCGAGGGCGGGGAAGAGAGGATCTGAATTCACGTTGATCCGAGTTCATGCCCTGTCCCAGTCGAGACTCACTGGAGGCTACTCGTATGCGAACTTGGGGGGAACTTCATAGTCGACTGGTTGATTCACGATGGTGAGAAGCCCAAGAGCAAGGCATTGTCCGCATCCCCTATTATCCGACCCCTTAACACACTAGTACGTACTCGAGTCCAACGTCCGGACAAAAGAAGACACCTGCATACGCATGCAAACAAAAGAAAAGCAAGCACCACCAGGTGTTTACTGCTGCGAAGGTAGCGGGGGGGAGACGGCATAAGCTACTTGTAGAAGTACCAGTTGCCACGCGATTCAGTGGGAGCAGACGCTAACAAGTCTGGGGTACTTGTACCTTGGTGACGGCCCTCCGGCATCAGGACTTCTCTCTTCAGTTTTTGTTGTGGTGTGTGCCCGAAACAGCCATGGTTGGCTGAAACTGCCTGTTTGTGGCATGATGCCACTTACAATTTTTTTTTCCTCGGGGCTTTTTTTTCTCTTTCTTCTTTCTTCCTCCCCTTCCTGTTTTTAGGTTTTGCTTTCGGCTTTCTTCTTTAGCCCCCGTCTTTTTGTTGGGATATCCGCATTTTTCTCGGGGGATCCTCATGCTAATAAAAGATTATTCGTAGCGTACCTTTGCCATGTTCTGCCTGGCGGCTCGCGGCTCGCGGTGGGTTCGCGCTATTACGTCACCAACAGAACACGCCAACAGCATGAATGGTCACCGTAAACGCGACCTGCGAACTGTTTTCTTAATGAGTGCCTATCAAAATGCGCCCCGCTTTTCAACCTCCTCGTCCTCCCCAACCTCCACGCTTCGCTCCACATGATAGCATCTAGACTCCTATTCTTTTCACACCGCCTCAAGGCGAAAGCCTAACATGAACCTTTTCTCTCTCTCTTTCTCCACCTCTCCGATGAGATATTCCGTGACCCCTTAGATCCGCATAGTCCATCATCCCTAATCCCGGAGACCGACGACGCCACCTCCTCCTCGACTCGACGATCTCCCCCCTCCTCGATCTTACTAGAACTCGACATGTCACGATAACACCCCGCCCCCCCTCAAATCTGGAACAGCCTCACACGCAATATCTCAACTCCAGACTCGAAAAACAACAAAGAACAAGTCCAACATGGACTCGGTGGTCCACTTGCCGCCGGGCATCGTCCCCTCGTGCGACTCTCCGCCCCTCCGGTGCTGCTGCGGGAGTCCCGGTTGCGTCGTGCTGAGACACAACTGTGCGGTGCTCGAGGGGGTCGAGAAGGATGTCCACATGGCGGCGAAGCTGGGACAGGTATGTCTCTGCTTGTGTCTTTTGTTCCTGATTCCCGCTTCCGCCCCCTTCCCCCCCGTCCCGTCCCCTTTTTGCCTCGCTGCCAGGTTACTTTTCTCTGTTTCGGATTCGAGGCGTTTGTTACTGCCCCCCCTCTTGGCCGTTGTATTCTCCTTGTCTTTCTTCGATTCAAGTCCTTTCCCCGGGGGTGCTCCTAGGATGGGGTCTAAATAGGCGCTTGCCGCCGGGTCCTCTCTTTGTCCTGGCTTCGGTCTCTGCCCCCGTTACTGTGTTTACTCGCTCGCTTTGGCATTCTTGCGTTGGCCTTCTCAACCCCGTCTGTCGTTTATCATGGCACTCAGGACCTCCCCCACCATGGCACACATAATGCCGCCCACCATGAAATATGCGAAGTCGCCTACTCTAGAGCATAAACCCTTTCCCACCATGGATCTCCCACTCTCGCCTAGCATGGAACACTCATTCGAACCCGCTATGGAACACACGACGACCTCTCGCGTGCCTCCCCCACTAACCTTCGCCCTCCAGGCCCTGCTCGTACGCCACGAGACTTACATGGCCGACGCCACCCGCGACCGCGAGACCCTCACCGCCCGCATCGCCCACCTCGAGGCTGAGAACCTCCGGCTCGAGAACCTAAATGCCCAGACCATATCCGAGAACCGGTCCCTCCTAGAGCAGCTGGAGACCCTCAACACAAGCACCGCGGAGTCTGACGCCCGCACCCGCGTCCTCGAGGCCAACCTCCAGGCCTCTCAGCAGGCCGTGCGGCGCCTGGAGATCGCCGCCTCCCGCGCCGCCGACATGGAGAGGCACATCTCCGGGCTAGAGGCGGAGCTCGAGGAGGCCCATGAGTCAATGTTCGCCACGGAGGAAGAAGCAAGGGGCGCCCTGAGGAGGTGGAGGGCTGCAGAGAGGACCGTCAGTGACCTGCAGGATCAGGTAGAAAAGATGGAGAAGGGGGCTCGAGAAGAGCGCGAGAGGCAGGCGGAGGTAATCGCGAGGATGGAGAGGCAGCGGGACCTCGAGAGGGAGCTCGGGGCTGCGGCAGGACGGCTCAAGGGTGCGGCGGCTGCGAGGACCCTCGGCGCTGGTGGCGCGGGGGGCGACTCGGGCGCCGCTGTATCGGCCTTCCTGCGGGACCTACTCCAGGACAACGCGAGCCTACAGCTCGGCATTGCAGAGCTGCGTGAGCTCCTCTCCAGTTCGAGGGAGGAGATCCACACGCTAAGGGAATGCCTTCGAGACCACCAGCCCGCCCACGACACTCCCCATGCGGACAGCTCCCCCTCCACACTTCGCGCCGAGCTACGCATCCCGCCGTCGCCCCCCGCCCGAGAAACACCTTCGCGCGAGGTCCACATCCACCACCACTACCACGCAGCCGCCAAACCCGAGGTCAAGAAGGCGAAGAAGAAGCGGCAGGGCGTGAACGCGGCGCTCTTCGCGCCCCTCCCCTCGACGCCTTCGGTGCTGAGCGACAAGGGACGACCCACGCTCCCACTCTCACCGTCTACCAGTCACACGACGGATTTTTACTCGGCCAAGGCGACGGAGTCCGAGGCGGGCCTCTCGTGCTGGTCGCCCATCCACGCAGGCTTCGAGTCGTCGCCTAGCTCGCCGAGGAGTAACCCTCGCGCTTCGGTGTTCGACCGGGGGCTCGAGTCCATGGAGCCGCTGTCGCCGTCCACGAGCGTAGATGTGCTGTCGCCTAGGTGGAGAGGGAAGAGGTCCGCGCCGGGGTTGGTGCCGGCGTCGCCGTCGCCATCAGTCTGCGCGGCGCTGGTGGACTCGTCCTCGGCAAAGGTAGGACTTCCAGACGAGCACGAACACTCGGACGCCGACGTCCGCCCGAGCCTCCGCCGGACCGTCTCCCACGAGTCGATCATCTCCCTCGGGGGCTTAGACATCCATACGCTCCACTCCCGGCCCAGCCAGCTCACCCTCCACCGGCTGGGCGGCGCGCAGGCCGTGCTGACGGACATCACGGCGCAGCCGACCATCTCGCGCTCGGGGCCCCGGGGCTCCTCGGTGCTGAGGGAGAGCCTCGCGTCGCTGCCCGGCTCCCCTTCCCCCGTGACGTCCCCGAGCCTCAGGTCGTCCTCGGCGCGCTGGTCGGGCTGGCGGCCGTGGCGGCTCTCGGACGGGCCGGGCCCTCGAGAGGACGACGCCTCGCAGGTGGCGGAGTCCGTCGTGGGTACCGATGCGTCCGGCGATGGGGCCTCGGTCCGCACGGGCGTGGTCACCAGCGAGGCTGGTGATGCGAAAGATAGGGACAAGGAGGCCGCGGCGCTCGCGCTCGCGCGCGACAGCCTCCGCGCGCCGGGGATAAATCAGCCCGGCGCGATCCCGGGGTTCAGCGAGTTCCTCGCGCAGGCGAAGAGGAGGGTGTCGAGCAGGGTGGTGCCGGAGGAGGTCGACCAGGAGGCGCTGGGGGATGCGTTTGAGTGAGGGGGGGTCTGCATCTCCCCCTTTCTCCTTCTCCCTCGCCCTCTCTTCGATACATGTAGTTTCCTTTCATCTTTTTTTGGGAAGGGGTGGTTCGTTTCATTCGTTTTCAACACTCGGGGTGTGGCTTGTTTTCCTTTGGATACCCAGTCGTTTATAACTCTCCTTGTCTCGTTTGGGTTTTGGGATATACGAATATGTATGGCGCTCTTGTTTCGTCCTTGTTTCTCTTGCCCCTTTTCTTCTTCGTAGCGTTTATCTCCCCAAGTTGTTCACTGCTTCTGTTCGTATCGTTGGTCTCAGGGGAGGGGTTTTTTCCCTTTGTGACAGTCACAGTCATTTATACATTCGCATTTGCATCAGCCCCCGGATGGGGATGGGACGGGACAGGATGGGATGGAGCATATACCACTGCGGTTGGGGGAAGGAACTACATGCGCATTTTAATCTCCTTAGTTGATAATACTATCATACAAAGCATATCTATTTACGGATATTTCTCTTCTTCTGTGTGTGTCTCTTCCTCTCTCTCTCTCTCTCACCCGTCTGCTCGTCTGCTCGTCCACTCACTACCACGGCGACAACCACATCTACCCCCACCCAACCCCCCTTTCCCCCCACGACAACGGCGCAAACCTTCTACAACCACCTCAACCTACCAAACAGAGAACACGGATCAAGGGACAAAGACTCAAAAAAATAAAAGAAAAAATAAACGGCCCTAGCCGGGATTTGAACCCGGGACCTGTCACAATCACGTGATCGTGAAAGGGAGTAACCCGAAGCGACAATCATACCACTAGACCACCAGGGCGTCCTGTGTTGATGTGGAGGGGATAAGGTGCGCTTGTGTATGGGGAGTCCAGGCGCACACTGTGCTATGGCCTGGGAAACCGGAACTGAAGATTAAGGGAGGTCCGGTCCAGGGCGGAGGAGCGCCGGGCCCGGCGGCTCGGAGTGGCCGGAGCTCCGACCGATGACTCGGGTGGCGCACGCACCCTTGGGGTTTCCTATACGTAAGGTCCCAAAGATAATCTCTTTGAGACCTCGGGTACATGACTCTCAGTTGATGCTTTTAGATATGCTTCTATACAAAGCTTTAAGACAGAACTTCCTCGAATACGATTTGGTTCTTTGACTTATGATACCGACCCTTTCATATGGTGTTTATATGAGTCCCGAGGTCGATAACCCCGGTCGCTACTAAGCTTATAATTTAATACGTCCCTTGGGACGACGGTGGTATATGCATGTCGCCACAATCCTGGGACAGGATATCTCAACAGCCTATTTAATCGCCTTCAAGCCGCTCAATGAACTTGCTAGCTCTCCCAAGCGGGGGGGGCTCCTTCTGTTTCTTCTTCTTCTTGTGGCGCTTGCAGCAAGGTGTCTGACGGTATACTTTGAAAGAGGGAAAAGGGAATATTAGGCAGCAGGGTAGAATGGTACATATTTATATGCTGTTGGTGTTTGCTAACTGGTTGCGGTACATGTATTCTACGAACTCCTATCGACGGGAGATGCTCCTTCCAGTTCCACCTCATCCTTATTTCTCAGCATATGCTAACATGGTGATGCTGGGATCGCTCCTTCCATGATTATAGAGAAATCCCCTCTCCCCTTCCCCCAGCTTCTTCTTCAATCGTTGTCAAACCTTTCATCGGCCTCGCTCCATCAAGCTCGCTGCTCTGATTTGGCCCTCGTCAAATCACTTCGGAACAAGTCCAAGAAGGACAACACCAGCGCTCGTCGTTTACTTACATCCGTCAAGCCCTGCTACGGCAGCGAGTACCTGGGTCTGGGTAAACAGGTTCAAGAATTTCTTGGGAACACCGATCGGTGAGAGGTTCGTGGTTGCCCTTCTGCAAACATTCTTCTGCAAATAAACGACATCACCCCCGCTGGCCTTTTTCAACGCCAGGACAGGCACCTACGCCCGACCAGATAATCGAATTCATGGTAGACATGCCGAGCCACATCAGCGCAAGGTCCGCAAGAAAAGGCATCGCATCAATGCGCACTAGCTACAACGCAATTGCCTGTGTCACACGACGGTGTCAGTTTGAATTTGAAGGTTCAAATGGGAACGTCGACACTCGGACAGAGCGAGTCGAAGGGTAAGAACGAGGTCCAGAAGGACGAAATCCCACCCTTCCCCTCGCGAGGGAGCCGTTGCAGCAGCCACGCAAGTCGACCAATGCTGTCACTGAGATGCGTGTTTATGAGGGCATCAACCACCGCAACCAGCGCAAGCGCCGAAAGCTTGCGAAGAAGCATCGTGCAGATGAACGTACACAATGGATAGCCGATAAGACTGCAGCGCAGGACGTGCCTATCTACAAGGACGACACCTCCAGCAACAGTGACGCCTCCAGCAACTACAACAACGACGACACTGACGCGGACGGCGTTAAGGACGAAGACCCGTTTACGCTAGAGAATCCAGAGTTTGCCAACATGCTCACTACCGCCCCCGTTAGCCCCGGCAACATGCCAACGGACAGAGGCACATTCTGCACATAGCTATCAAAGGTCAACACACTCGCTCATCACTCCACCGGCACAGTTAGATGCAAGCAGGCCGAGGATGTGGTCGGAAGTACGGGCCTCCCCCAGCTAAGGAAGTCTGTCTGCCCAAACCAGACAAACGGTGCAAGATTGTCTTTTGTGTAAGGGGGGGTGGAGGGGGAAAGAAAAAAAGAGAGAGGGAGGGGGGATACAGTGGAGGTTCATCTGCATGGGCGTGCCAACTATGTGGTGTGTTTCTGTTTGTATGCATACCAAGTACGCGAGGGGTGCCCCCATGCTAGCTGAAGCATAGGCAGAAGACGAAGTCAATTCCCTAGAGGCAGCGATCGAATCTTTCTTTATTCTAGGGCATGTCAAGTCGGATGGGATGTTCTTTTCTCTCATTTTCCTGAGTTAGGCGTGGATGGGACAGATAGACATTCCATCTCAGTTACAAAAAGAGACGAATGTTCTTTTCTTCCACTCTCCTGTTTTTACACTATGTTAGGTCCCCTTCTGCTGAGCATGAGCTTCATTTCCTTCAGATATAGCTCACTACATGTAGCAACCAAAGATCCCACGTCCCAACAACAATAAACAAGAATCAGAATGCAGGAAGCAGGAAGCAGGAAACAAGAAACCGAGAGGATATAATCATATTCATAGCCGCTCCCCTAATACAATGCCGTATTCTTTTTTCGCTATTCCCACAAGAAAACACAAGACCCAATCTTCTCAGAGCAAACAACCCGTTTCACCCCTTTCCACCCTATCCCCCAGTCTCCCGTAATCGTACACCAATACTTCCATTACACCCACCCAGAACACTACGCATCCCCATTCTCACCCCCATTCTTACCCCCCTCCTTCGCCGAGGCGGCGCCCCCTCCGAGGAACATAGCCTTAAAGTCCGCGTTCGACTTCTTCCCCCCCTCTCCGCCCCCGCCAGACGACGGATGCGGCCCCGCCCGGACGACCGGTCCCCCGAGCCCCCTCTTAGCAGCGCCCCTGCCCCCCTTCCCCCCCAGCACAGGCCTCCGGACGTTAACCGGCGCCAACCCCCCGAGGCCATTCCCATTTCCATTCCCCTTCCCCTTCACCTTCACCTCCAACCTCTCTTTCCCCTTGCCCCCCTTGTCGTGGCCCTTCCCCTCGGCCTGCGTCCTCCCCATATACTTCGCTAGGTCCTCCATCCCCCCCGTCGTCAGCTCCACACCCTCCCACACCCGCCCGTTCAGCCCTAGCATTGCCCTCCCTGCCGTCGCCTCGTCCACAAAGGTCACCACCGCGGAGCCCTTCCTCGGCTGCAGGACGAGCTTCTCCACCCCGCCGATCGTCTTCGCTAGCTCCATAACGCGCGAGTCATTGACCGTGTCGGGAAGGTTCATGATGGCTACCTTCTTCCTGATCTCCGCAGAGTGGTCGTAGGTCGTCGGGGGTGACAGCGCAGGCATTGGCCCCACTTCCTGTTGCGCCATGACGGCCGCCGGCCCTGGCTCCACGTCCGGCATCGGCTCCTCCTCCGGCTGCGCGAGGACGGCGTCGATCGGCGGGAGGTGCACGCCCGCGGCGGGTGGTATCGGCGAGACGTACACGTCCCCGGGAGGCGGTGACGGCGCACCCCCTGCCTTTGGTGGCGGCACCCCCTCTCCTTCACCCGCCGCCGCTGACGGCGGCTGCTTCCCACCAGACGGCGCGTCCGGATTCACCACCTTCGCCACAACCTTGGCCCTCGGCAGAGCGAGTCCGACCGACAGTACCCGGCTCCTCAGCTTCGTGTTGTTCAGCTCCGCAACCGCCTCCGCCGCGTGCACTGGTTTCTCAAACTCCACAAACGCGTTGCTGAAGCCTCCTCCCTTCTCCTTATCCCTGCTATCCACCATGCTCACCCGCACCACGGGCCCGTACTTACCAAACACGTCCCGTAGGTCCCCCTCCCTCAGCGTGCCGTCCAGGTTGGACACGTAGACCTCCCTCCTCTCGGACAGCGCGCCCTCGCGCTTCTTACGCCTCGATGGGTCCGAGTACTTCACTTCGAGCCTGAACTTCCCCTCCAGCGTCTTCCCGGCCATCCTCGTCGCCTTGGCGGCCGCCTCCCGGTCCCTGAACGAGATGTAGCAGAACCGCCGCCGCGTGTTGTACTTGAGGCTCGGCCACCGAATGCTCAGGATGTCGCCGCAGTCCTTGAACAGGTTGCGCATGTACTCCTCGTTCGCCGTCGGTGGGTAGTTCGTGACGAAGAGGGTGAGCCCGGCCCCGGACTCGACCCGGATCTGCGACTCCCCAAAGTACTTGTTGTCCCTAAACTTGACGCAGTCCTCGGCGTCCCCAATGTCTTCGAACTCGATGAGCGCCGTCGAGGACTCGGGGCCCTTAACGAGTGTCATGTTCTGGATGTGGCCAAAGTCCTTGAGGTACTTCTTGATCGCCGTCTGCGTCACGTCCGCGGGGAGATTCGTTATCAGCACGCTCGTGTGCTCCCTGTCCCTCTTCGGACCCCCCTCGTCCGTCTCGCCATTCTTGGGTTTCGGAGCATCGGGCACTTCGGAGGTGTCTTCTGAGGCTCTGGGCCTCTTACTCGCCGTCTCATCCTCGCCCTGCGTATCTGCCCGCTTTCGCTTGGTGCCCGACGGTGACTCGGGCGCCGCATGAGTTTCCGCTGCCGCTGCCGCCGCCGCTTCCGCTTTCGCAGTAGAAGCTTCCGCCTCTGCTTGTGCCTGTGCCTGGTACGCGTAGGCCTCCGCTGCCTCTGCCGCCTCTCTCTCCCTCCGCTTCGCAACGACGATGCGGATCTTGTGGATGTTATCCCTCGCACGCCGGATCATGTGGGGGGGGTCGTAGTCGTTGCAGTGTTGTAGATACACGCCGATCGCCCGCTCCGGCCAGTCGAGCGTCTTTCGGTAGACGGCATTCGCGAGCACGGCGGTAGCTTTGTCCGGCGATGCCGCCGTCCCAGACTTGCCCGAGGCCGACGGTTGGCCGGTCATGTAGAATATTTGCATCTCCCAGAGGTAGTACGCGCGCCAGAAGTCGTACTTGTCCGCGTACAACGGCTTCCGGGCGAGGAGCTCCCACCGGGCTCTCGCGCCTTCAATATCGCCCTTCTTCTCGGTGAGGTATTGGATGTAGATCCTCTCGAGGCGGAAGTCGGGGTCGCCTTGAAACTCGGAGCCGTACAGCCGGCTGCCGAGGACCTCGACGGACTCGAGGGCCGCGGGCAGCCCGACATCGGCGACGTCGACGGCCTCTTCGGAGGCATTCGGGTTCATGGCGAAGCGCTTGAGGTAGCCGCACCAGGCGACGTAC